GAGAAGAGAAAATCTTCACAGCCACATCGCCGCCTCTCCAGCGGCCACGCCAAACTTCCCCAAACCGGCCCTTGCCGATGATCTCCTGCAGAACGATGGTTCGGGCTACTGTGCGCTGGACAAAAAGGGGTAACCCTGTGGACCAGAGGGTGGACAGAGACCTGACGTTGCAACTTTGCTCAGCTCTGCTGTCCCACGCTCGTTGCTGTACCAGAAAGACCTTTCACGCTGTGTCTCCATTGGCCACGGAGAGCTGCTGCGTCCCTGACCAGGCCGGGGCCATCCACCAGGTAGCTGGGCGAGGGGCAATTGAGGGTGTTTGGACATGGAAAGAGGGCCATATATGACTGGCTGTTCCTTATCTAAGCGAATTCTACTCTCAGGTAGACCAGTTTTAAGGTAGATGTTTGACCAGATTTACCAACTCTGCAGCCAGCCACCTGCGGGCCGGCCCACACACATCTGCTCTATTCTGATGACAGAGGAGAGAGGGCAGAGTAGAGCCAAGTATGGGCTTGAGTGCTGGGAGCCGGCCTTTGGCTCTGCTCCTTAGCCACTAGAGGGCAGTGCTGCGCGGCCCAGGGGTTCCCAGCGCTCCAGAGAGCGTGGGGCTGTGCTCCCAGGTGAAAGTTCCAGATGGGGAATGAGGGAACACCCATGCTTATCCCAAGATGGATTTCACTGTTTTTACAGGGCTCGTTATTGCTGTGTTTGACTCATTCAATGTCTTCCTCTCTATCCAATCACCATTACCATCATAACTGACTCTTAACTCTCTCACTTCCTCCCCTGACCAAATAAATAATCATGTTATTAATCTCCATGTCTGGGGGATCTAACTACCATTTACGGTATGCTTACTCTGCGTCAGGCTCTAAGCGAAGGGATACATAAATTATCTCATTTCCTCACCACCTTTAAGATAAGTACTGTCATCATCCCCATTTTACAGATGAGAATAACACACTCAAACCCACAGAGCAGAAAGCAGCAAAGCAGGGATTCAAGTCTAGACTGTCTGACTCCACAGTCCACCACCAAATGGTTCCAGAACCACCGGAACGTCTCTCAAATTAGACTCCTCCTCTTCCTGCCGTGTGTCCCATTCCTACTTCTCCCTGGCTGTTCTTTATAAGGCTTCTAATAGGTCATGCTGCCTCTCCTCTCACCCTGCTCTGGCCCTGCACACCCACAAGCACCCAGTCTCATCCCACCCTTCCCAACGGGAGGCTGGTGAATGAATGAGGTCATCCTCCACACCACTACCAGACTTTCTTCCCATGCGAAAACCAACATTCATTTTCCACAAGAAACCTTCCAGCAGATACCTCTTACCTTTGAACAAAGGACAACGCCTAAGGTCCTTTCCAACAGTCGAGCCTGTCTCCCTTCCTCCTCCCAGCATGAGTATGTCACGCTGTCCCGTTATCATAAATTCCTTAACTATGCCGTGAGCCTCCATGCCTTTTTGTCCTTTTGCTCAAGGTGTTTTTCCTTGGCCTGGAATGTTCCCTGCCCTCTCCTCTCGCTTAGAAATTCCAACTCATACTTCAAAAATCTTTTAGAAGCATCTTCCTCTGTGAGACTCTTCCCAGTGCTCCCTGCCTCGGCTGTCCAATCCTGGGTCAGCCTCTTTTAGTCTGTTTACTAGTTACTCAATACTGGGGGTATTGAGTATTTATTTGTCAAAATGAGTTGACAGTCCCATAAGTACCATGGACTTGTTACTTTAAAAAACACATTGCTGGGCCAGACAGTGGCGTGGTAGCTAAGGCGACTGGATCCCACATGGCCAATGGCTGTGTCTGGCTCAAGTCTCTGACCCAGCAGCTTGAAACACATGCCAGGCATATGTGTGTGCATGCCCAAAATTCTGACAGGAAGGAGAAATGAAGGAGAAGAGACTGCAGCATGGCTGCCCCATGGGGAGTGCTTTCTTACTTCCTCTCTGTCTCACTCCTATGAGTGCATGTGCCTTCTGGCAAATTAAAAGACAAAAGTTAAAACACAACAACAAAGGAAAAAACCACCTCACTAGTCCAGCCACAGAGGTGCATGCTGCTAAGAGGCTGGGACCATCTAAGTTCGACTCCTGGTCCAACCTAAAGGCCAGGCATGGTGGCATGTACCTGTAACCCCAGAGAGAGGCGGAGGCGGGAGGACTGTGAGCTTGAAAGGGCAGGCCACGATGGTGCTTGCCTATAGTCCCAGACGGAAGATTTGAGGCAGGAGTATGGCCACAGGGCAAGATATTGTCATTAAACAAATCAAAATTAGTAAAAACCCACTACTTGGGACCAGTAGGTGGTGTGGTTAAGGCATTATGTGTGTGTGTGGGTGGGTATGTGTGACTTCTCATCTTCCTTCTCCCCATCTTTCTCTGGTGAGTGTACATGTCTTATGGCAAAATCAAAAAGAAACAAACAAAACAAAGGGCTTGGTCGAGTGGCAGTGGTACGAGTGGGTGAATGCCACTACAAGGTGGTTGAAGCCACACGGGAGACTCAGGTTCCGTTCCCAGTCCAACCTAAACACACGCCTGTGGTCCCAGCTAACTGGGAGACTGGGGCAGAAGATGACAACAGCAAAACTCCGCCAAAATCACCTATGTCTCTCTTTACCTCCTGTTTACTCTGTCCTTCCAGCTTGCTTCCTCATGAAAAAAATAATAATAATAATAAATAAATAAATAAAGGAAGGAAAGAAGGAAGGGAGGGAGGAAGAAAGACAGAACAGACTAAACCACGCATAGAGAAATAGTTATGAGCCATTCTATTCCATAAGTCTAAGTAAGTGGCATCACCCTTCCCTAGCTTCAGCTGGTCCTGCTCTGAAAAAGGCTCTGGAAAGCCTAAGCTGCCTCCTCTAGCAGCAAATCAAGTCACAGCATCAGTCAGGCGGTCCTAACCACTGCCCTACCTCTTTCAGCAAAAACAGCCCTGTATTTTCTCAGTTTCTAAAAATATGCAGCTTTTAAATATATCCATCATTTTGGTGCTCTCTGCTGCAGAGCTTAATAAAGGCAAAACCACTGAAATTCAGATGTCACAGCTCAAAGAACTCCCGTGTTAAGGAGGAACGGTTGGCCACGGCTGATCCATAGTCTCCCTACAGAATGACAGTCTGGCCCTCGGCAAGGGACCACACATAAAAACACTCGAGACGCACAGGCAAGACCCTGCACGTTTCTGCTGGAACGGTAAAAAGGAGTTTCTTCTCAGAATGGAATACCACTGTCACTACAAGAATAGTTTATCTTCATTAAAAACCTCTTCCACAGTCATGCTCACACCTAATAGCTAGCTGGGCTATACACACCCGGAGGTCTGAACAACCCGATTCCCTGCCTGCTAAATTCTGGTCTCACGCCAAGGCCCAGTGTCTGGTTCAGTTCTCTCATCTGAGAACGACTTGGTCAACAACTGGCAGTACAGGAAATGGCCCTAATGCCATGCTGGAAGCCCAGGGTGCCTTTTCTAACCCCCACCAAAAAACCCCTGGGCTACTGGGGCAAGTCAATGATTCACCAAATCCCAACTCTCAGCTGTACTCGATGTCCTCAGACTCCCCTTGTGGTGGCTCGGAGATCAATGATTAGCTGTCACCACCTCACTGGAATCCGGCACACTCCTGTTTCTCAAAAGGGGCCCTGAAATTGAGCGCGCGACTGCTCAGGTGGAACAGCTGGATTTTAATGGACAGCTACGGGCTTGGAAAGGGAGGGCTTCTGCAATGGAGAGCTTGAACGTGACCTTTGGAATCCCAGGGAATGAAAGGTTTTCTGTGAGCCCACCATCTTGTTCCAACTCCAAAAGAAGGGGAGTTATGAAACCAAGTGACTTCATGCTAGTGGACATGAACACAGGGCCCAGCCCTCCACATAACCCCCGGCCCTGCTGCAAAACAGCGGAGAGGGCCGACAGCAGCCTCGTGCCCGGCGAACTCTGTACCTGAGCCGGATCCTGATGTGGAGAGATCGTAGACAAGATCCTGCAGCGTCTTGTCTTTGGAGAGACACATCTCACACGAGGGATCTTCCATGTCCAGCCTCTGGCGGTTGTGATAGACTCGCTGATGATAGTTAATGACAAGGAAAACAATGATGATGATGAGGAACAGGAGGAACACTGGGCCGGCGATAATGCCTACCAGCTCCACCGGACCCCACATGGATGGGTGCTCAGGCTCCTTGAGGTGACCTGGGTCAAGTGAGAGAGGGGAGGGAGGAAGGGAACAAAGAATAAAAATGAGGGAAAGCTCTGGCCGCCTCTTCTTCTCCAGCACCTCCCGCGAAGTGAGAAAGGTCCCTTTCCCTCTGGTGTGTTCCGGTTCCTTTGATCCCTCTGGTCTCCCCAGGCTGGCCTGTCTGCTTAGAAGCTCTCAAACGCCAGACGTCTGCAGCTCAGCTGTCCTGCCAACAGTCAGACTCACAACCCACCCTGTGGTTTCGCAGCGGCATGCCGCGTGTCCCCCCTCAGCCCCCAGACCCACGCTGGCTTCTCCTCTGCAATGGAGAGCAGCTCCTCTAAGTCCTGCCTTCAGCTCTCCTTCTCTGTCTCCCTAGTAACACTGTCTAAGTGGGGGACCCACAACGGAGGGGACATGTGGGAGTCCTCTGCCCTGACCACCATCTTTACACCTGAGCATCACCATCCTTGAGCAATACCTTCCCAGGGCTCCTCCAGATCAAGCCCACCTCCTCCATGGGATCCCTAGTTGGATCTTCCACTCTTCACCTCTGTCCACAGCTGCTCAGCCACTTCCTAAAACACGGCTGACCCAACCTGACCCTCTACCTTCCTCATCCTCCAATCTACAAATCGGACTTGGGGACTCCATCCCTTGGCACCTTGGGGAACATCCGAAGGCCCCTTTACCTATCATCAAACCAAGGGAATGGGGGAGAGCAGAGAAGATGAAGAGACAGGGGTGCCCTACCTCCAAGATGAGCCACTAGTCCACAAAGGGCGTCCACTCACCACTGGGCACCCTCAGGTCGATCTTGTTGCAGAAGTCAGTGTAGCAGCAGTGGGTGTTGCGCAGGTCCTCTGAGCTCAGGCAGTAGAAGGGCTTCCCTGCGGGGACCAGCTCCACCTTGGGGATGCAGGTGCGCACGTGGTGCTCCATTCCGTCCAGGTTGAAAATGGAAACCATGCAGGCCCCATCTGTTTCACACGTGTAGTTGGCCTGTAGGCAGCTGGTACACGCGCACAGCAGAGCTGCAGGAAATTTGGGAGCAGACATCGACATCGATGGTGAGATCTTTTCCAGGTCCTTCTCCAGATTTAGAATATAATCCCTTAGCACACTCAGTGTTCCAAAATAAGGCGCTTTTATAGAGATGGGGCCGGAAGGAGATCTTCAACTGGAACACAACTTTCACCTGTTAATTCGGCTCACAAACAAGGCTACCCGGCAGCAGTGTTTTCCTCTAGCACTCTACTTTGTGCTGTGAAAGACAGAATAAGCCCCCTTTCCCTTTGGATAGTACAGGGCACCCCCTCCCACCACACACAGCTCCACGCGAAACCTTGCAGGGCTTCTGGAGCCATTCTCAACCTAGTCCCTCTCTTAGGCGCCAGGCCCACCCTGAATTTAAGTGCAGTATGCATGCACTTACACATTGCTTTTGCTGCAATGCTTTCTTCCTGCCTAATTCCTACAAGTCCTTCAAAATTCAGCTCAAATGTCACTTCCTTTGAAAAGCTTCCATGACCACTCCATTATGATTCTCCTCCCCTTAGTCCATGTCAAACGCCCCTCACAAGGGCCAAAGAGGATGTCCTCCAAGAGGAGAATTGCAGTGCATACCTCATAAAGTTAGCCCAAGAGGATTAAATGAGACAAGCACAAAAAGTGCTCAATAAATTTAACCCACTCTGGGACCAGCAGTTGGTGTAACAGCTATGTTGCCAGACTCCCACGTAGTCGACCGCAGTTTGAGTTTGGACCCGGTGGCTTAGACTCACACCGGGCGCGTGTGCGTGCGTGCCCAAGATCCCGAGAGGAGAATGGAGGAGAAGGGATTGTGGCGTGGCCATCCCCCCTGGGGGGTGATTTCTTGCTTTCTGTCTCTCTGTCTCTCTCTGTCTCTCTGGCAAGTACACACGCCCTATAGCAAAAACCTCTAAAAAAACACACACACAAAATTTAACCCACTCTGAAAGACCCCTGGAGAACTTTAAAAAAAAGAAAATACAAGGCCAGCCAGGTGGCATGGAGGTTAAAGTGGCTGGATCCCATATGGCTGAGCACACAGACCAAGTCCCAGGCCCCGCAGCTGGGAAAATGCACTGAGCATATCTCCATGTGTGCCCCAAATCCTGAGAGGAGAGTGGAGAAGGGAGTATGAAGTGGCTACCCGCCTGGAAGGGTGATTTCTCACTCTCTGTCTCTCTCTGATGCATGCACCCTACAGAAAAATATAAAACAACACACACACACACACACACACACACACACACTATTTTTTCAAACTGGCAATGTCACCACAGCCACAGTGGCACAGCAATAGTGAACTGGAAGCCATGTGAAAAGCCAGGGGTCAGTGCCCAGGACGGCCGGCACACAGCAGGTGAGTACACGTGCGCCGTCATCCTGGCTGGCTGGGAAAAGCTACAGGGGAACCACAGCATGAGCTCCTGCTTAGGAGGAGTTTTCTCTTTCTCTGTTTCTCTTGCGCATGAGTAAATAATCTTTAAACATATGTAAATAATGGGCTAGCAGCTGGTGTGGTGGTTAAGGTGCTGGACTCCCACCTGGCCAACTGCAGTTCGAGTCCCAGACCTGGTGGCTTGCTTTCTCACTTTCCCTTTCTTTCTCTGTCTCTCTCTCTCATGACCATGCATGTCCTGTAGCAAACTAAAAAATAATAATAAGGGACCAGCAGTTAGCGTAATGGCTATGTCGCTGGACTCCCACGTAGTTGACCGCGGTTCGCGTCCCGGACCCGGCGGCTTAAACTCACGCTGGGTGCGTGCCCAAGATTCCAAGAGGAGAATGGAGGAGAAGGGATTGTGGCGTGGCCAACCCCCCTGGGGGGTGATTTCTCGCTTTCTATCTCTCTATCTCTCTCTGTCTTTCTGGTGAGCGCGTGCGCCCTATAGTGAAAACCTCTCCAAAAATAAATAAATAAATAAATAAATAAATTTTTTTAAAAAAAGAAAAACAAAATTAAAGAATTCTTTCCAAAAAGTAAGTAAATACGTAAATGAAGAAGCAGTATACGCAACCACCTCCAAGACGAATGAGTCTTGCTAGGCATGTATCATCCCCGAGTGTGTACCATTGACAGGAAATTACTGTAAATGAATTTGGCGCCTCTGAAAGCCAGTTCAGCAGCCCTGGAATCTGAAATCCTTTATTTATCCAACTAACAAGAATAGCACAGACAGCAGCAGTTGGTCCTCCCGACACTGTCTCCCATGAGGCTAACCCAGCCCTGACCTGCTGGGATAGGGGGGAGCGTGGCTCTGGCCACTAGAACAGCGAGGCTGGAACTTGTCGTGCTGAGCAAAGCACTCACTCACCACGAGGGGCTGGGCGGCGGGCCCTCTGGGGCCCCGGAACGCACACTAAGTGAACACCGGCAGGACACCTCCGTTCTTCCTAGAGGAGACTTTATGGGCAATCCCATGAAAAGCCACTGCCGTAACTCAGACGCTCAGGCTGTAAATAATCTATCTGGGCCTCTTCCTCTGAACCTCTGGAAGGCGTCTCTTGGCTTTCCAAGCCCAAAGACAGATTCTAAATATCTCAGTGTTCTAAGTATCCTTCCTCAGGATTTCTATAAGTGAAACCATCCTCGCTACTTCCACCCAAGGAAACAAAAGCGAGACAGCACCGACAGGTGGACACTGGAGCTCTTCACTGGACGGCCTGCTTTATATTTTTACGACGTTTTATCAGATCTCTTTCTCCTGGGAGAAATTCCAAAGCATGCAGCTACCTGCCAGACAGTTTGGGTAATGTTATTTCGTCAAGGCAGAAAGTTTAAAGTAGGTACTTATTAGACTGGGATCCAGATCACAAAAGGAATTTAATTTATTTATTTATTTTATTTTGCAATAGAGCACGTGCACTTGCCAAAGACAGACAGAGAGAGGGGGAGAAAAGTGAGGAAGCACACTCCAGGGGGGATGGCTATGCTGCAATCCCCTCTCCTCCATTCCCCTCATGGGATTTTGGGCACAGGCACACATACTTGGCCTGTTCCTCAAGCTACAGAGTTTGGGACTTGAACCATACAGTCAGCCACATGGGATCCAGCTGCCTTAACCACCAAGCCACCAGCTGGCCCCATAAAAGGAATTTAAAAAGTAAATTTCCCCTGTATTTCGACCCCAGCTCTTCAGACACGAGACTAAGGAATTTTCTGGTTTTTCCTCCCAAATATCTTTATTTGCTCACTATTATTCTTCTTGCTAACTGAAATTGCTTCCGTGACTCTCAGCACACCTGATCCCAACCTCCTTTGCACATGCTAAATAGCTGTTAACCCAAGAAAGCTGGCTCCCATGCCCTTCTGTCTAGTGAGGACCTTCAGGCACAAAAGGATCTCCCTGTAGAGAGCACGCCTCCCAGCACGCGTGTTGTGATGTCCAGCAAAGAGAAGAGACTTAGCCTATTTGGGGAAGCAAGAAGGGAAAAATTAATAACTTCATGAAGACTATTCTGAGCACCGTGAGACACGCAAGGCCAAACCCACAGTCGCCTTTTTAAAAAGAGCTCCCTTCAGAGTCCATCAATTAGTAGGGCAGAAGAGTCAGGAGTCTCCGATTCCAGATATTTATTCTCCCTTCGTTGGTTCATGGCCTCTTTCACAGTGATTCATTCTGGAGAATGAACACACCCACACGTGGCTCATTATTTTTGGGAAGTACTTAAACAATCTTGGTGTAAGACAGGAAAGCACAAAAGTGGTGAAATCTATGCTAGACAGGACGAAGGCCGGAACTGGGAGCAGGGCCATGTGGTCTGTGATAAGGAACCAGGCGAGTCCCTGGGCCTATCAGGACCTCAAGGGCCCAACGAGAAAACACCATTTATCTCGCAGAGATGCAGGAGATCAGCCAAACGTCTGCTTCGTGCTGCTGGTGCAGAGAAAGGCATGCTCCACACACGTCTATGTGCACTTCACAGACTGAGTAAGAAGTCCGGAAAAGATCTATTTTTTAAGATAATCATCTCTGCTGCCCACACCCCTGAAAAGGTCTGAATCACTGGGCAGCCCCGTGGGTATCACGGCAGGAACCGGTCAGGAAGACCTAAGGTTCACACACAGGCTCTGATATCATTCACATGACCGTGGGCAAATTGTTAACCTTCCTGCACCCCAGTGTCCTAATCTGTAAGGTGGGACTGCTAATAACTAGTTCACAGGACTACATAAGAATTACATGAAATAATAGACTATAAAAAAGGGACTTAAATTAGTAGGTGCTCAATATTAATCCCTCCTTGCAATGGGAAACCTTAAAATAACAAAACTAGTAACAACAAAACCCACCCAAGTCAAACGTGTCTCTTTAAGTCCTAATTAGGAAGCAGCAAGTTATGGCAAGATGTCAGCAAGAAACTGCTGTTCAAGTCTCAGCCCTGCCAGTAACTAGACGCGTGGCTTTGGGCAAGTCACTTAACCTCTCTGAACCTCATTTTCCTCATGATTAACCAGAAAGAAGGGACTGAACTAGATGACCTCTAAAATCCTTTCCAGCTGAAAGTTTGAATCTAGTTTTGTTTTTCAGTTCTCATTGCTTGGGTCCCTGCTCTAACACCGGACAATTCTGCTTTGTTTTATACACCTTTTCCCAAGGCGTCTTTCAAAGACAGACATTTTGGCTAGTCTTCTGTTAATATTCGTTTTTCAGTGAAACAAAATCAGTGATAATGAAATTATAAACACATCTGAATTTACTGTAAGTGTAGCATACAATCATAAACCCAAATTCAATTCTCTTTGAAATGCTAAATCTGGGCTAATGATAACAGCCCTTTATAGCCTGTTTCGCAGTGACTCATGAGGTTAGAAAGTCTGCACACATGTATATAAATAATATCTAAAACTCTTCTATTCCCCAACCAGAGAGATACACAGTGGAAATAACGCCATTTGGAAAACCAAATCATAGAAGAGAAACGAAATCATTCTCCATCTAAACAAGTTAGAAAGGCGTTAGGATAAAAGTTTACTAGCACAGACTTTTGTTAGTAACAAGTT